ATATAGTTCATACGTGTTTCTTGTTTCTCGTTTTTATATAGATTAGACCGTTGGTTTTTCCGTTTGAATGGTTTTACACTAGTAATTTTTTGGGGCCCTTTATAGCTTGTTGTTCGGTGTGAGCCAATGCTCCGTGTTGAAGGCCGTACCTTGACCTATAATGGTTTACTTTTATAAATTGTAACTTGGATGGAGAGTTGTCTCATTGGCACTCATACCACATCTTCCTATATCTAATTGCGAGAGACTGTAAAAATAAATATTACAACTACATATGCCTATGCGTTTAGCATAAAACAGCATTATTTAAAAAGTAATTAATATTAAATCTGTTTTGTTTTAAATGCTATACAATCATTACAGTATAACGCTAATGGGAAAGGGCATTAAATTAATTATTAAAATCATATCAAGAATCAAAATTTTTATTAATGTTATTGTTGCGGTGTGGTTATCGGAATAAAACCAACAATATTACATAAGTAATGATAGATATAATCGTAAAACAAAAAAACATAAATAAAACATCAAACCAAGGATTTATATTATAATTTTTTTTATCAAAATTAGCAGATATAGGGTTCTGGATGGGGTCCTTACTATATCTGAATTCGTTTTCTTCCTATTATTTATATTCTATCTCCCCATTATTCTATATTGTTTATTTTTATTTGCCTATTTTTCTCTATTCTTGTCGTTTTTGTCCTTTATTCTACTGTGACTATTTATCCATTTTCCTCTATTCTGTAAACCCCATCCAGACCCTCAGATATAGAAATTGGCCTAATATTCTGACATTAACGATCTTTATGAAGGAAAATAATTCCTCTATTTTGATAAACAAATATGTGTATTTGACAAATACAGGAAAACTGAACATTTATAACACTACACCATTATAATATACACAAAAGTATAAGTCCAAAGTTCTTAGTTATAACTACTCCAAGAAGAAAATCAGTTTATTTACTCGAGATACGGATGAACGGCTGAGATCAAATCTTGCCTTTTCACAATCAGAGAAAATACATAACGTTTCTAATAAATAGGTCAAACTTTATAAACTTGAGTCAAGTCAATAGAATAATTGATTAACCAAAACTTATACAAACGTTGAAGAGCTGGTCTAACAAGAGCTGGTCAAACCAAAACTTATACAAACGTTGAGGAGCTGGTCAAACCACAACTTATACAAACGATGAAGAGCTGTTCATACCAATACTTATACAAACGTTGAAGAACTGGTCCAACCACAATTTTTACAAACGTCGAAGAGCTGGTCATACCAAAACTTATACAAACGTTGAAGAGCTGGACAAACCAAATTTTATACAAACGATGAAGATCTGTTCATACCAAAACTTATACAAACGTTGAAGAACTGGTACAACCACAACTTTTACAAACGTCGAAGAGCTGGTCATACCAAAACTTATACAAACGTCGAAGAGCTGGTCATACCAAAACTTATACAAACGTCGAAGAGCCTGACAAACCAAATCTTATACAAACTTTGAAGAGCTGGTCAACCCAAAACGTATGCAAACGTTGAGGAGCTGGTCAAACCAAAACTTATGCAAACATTGAAGAGCTGGTAAAACCAAAACTTATACAAACGTTGAAGAGCTGGTCAAACCAAAACTTATGCAAACTTTGAAGAGCTGGTCAAACCATAACTTATACAAACGTTGAAGAGCTGGTCAAACCACAACTTATACAAACGTTGAGGAGCTGGTCAAACCAAAACTTATACAAACGTTAAAGAGCTAGTCAAACCATAACTTATACAAACGTTGAAGAGCTGGTCAAACCACAACTTATACAAACGTTGAAGAGCTAGTCAAACAAGAGCTGGTCAAACCAAAACTTATACAAACGTTGAGGAGCTGGTCAAACCACAACTTATACAAATATACAGACGTTGAAGAGCTGGTCAAACAAGAGCTGGTCAAACCATAACTTATACAAACTTTGAAGAGCTGGTCCAACCACAACTTATACCAACGTTGAGGAGCTGGTCAAACCAAAACTTATGCAAACGTTGAAGAGCTGGACAAACCAAAACTTATACAAAAGTTGAAGAGCTGGTCAAACCAAAACTTATACAAACGTTAAAGAGCTGGTCATACCAAAACTTATACAAAAGTTGAGGAGCTGGTCAAACTAAAACTTATACAAATGTTAAAGAGCTGGTCATACCAAAACTTATACAAAAGTTGAGGAGCTGGTCAAACTAAAACTTATACCAACGTTGAGGAGCTGGTCAAACCAAAACTTATACAAAAGTTGAGGAGCTGGACAAACCAAAACTTATACAAACGTTAAAGAGCTGGGCAAAGAGCTGGGCAAACCAAAACTTATACAAACGTTAAAGAGCTGGTAAACCAAAACATATACAAAAGTTGAGGAGCTGGTCAAACCAAAACTTATACAAACGATGAAAACCTGGTCAAACCAAAACTTATACAAACGTTAAAGATCTGGACAAACCAAAACTCATATTGGCGATTTTGGTGTCGTCTTGTAGAAGAGAAGCATTCGGTTATACAAATCAGCATACCTCGGGTAAATCCGCTCATTCCGCTGCTCTCCGGAATCTACCGAAGTTACGTGGAGAGTCGATCATAAATACGATTGGTCAAAAGGACTTGAAGAAATCTATGAATTATGAGTCTCGAGGAAAGGATTTTATTTTGGAGTTTCAACTAGAGAAAACAATTTTTCATAAATTTCCGATCTCTTGAACGTGAAAACGCGCTGCACTTGACACCGATACATAATAATTAATCAATTTAATGATATTAAAAAAACGCGACCTAAAAAAAGTCCATCCCTTGCGTAACTATTGTTTACATCAAAACCCCTCCCCTACCCAACTCTCTCTGCATAGGAAAAAGAAGAAATGAAAAAAAAAAGAAATCACTTCATGCATCGTTCAAGGTTTTTGAACTCACGGTGTTTTAGTCATGAGTGCACCTATAATAGCGATGAAAATAACATTAAAAGTCAATATTCAGTAGAATATTAACCAAATCAATGACCACGAAATTAGTATCAAAAGTGTATAATAGTAAATAAAACTAAAAAGTGTAGTACGGGAATATTGATTATCTTAATAATTTTCAAAATTCTAACCGTGACCTAATTTTGCCTACGAGATTGTCAGGGCAACCTACATTCATTACGTATTATAATTGTGTCTTCCCACAGTTGTGTCGTATTATCACAACACCTGTACACGTGATATTAATAACCACTAGTGTTCATATCAATGTTATCTCTTGGCCTAGTTATTGTTAGGTTCATAAGTCTAAATCGGATCCCATATCAAAAGTGGAATTGATTTGTAAAAAGTGATTGGAATAAACATGGCCGTGTCAGATTTAAAGAAATACGGTCTTCCGACATGGATTTTAAATTGGTTTTATTTAACTGCAATTGTGTGCACATGGGATGCATCTTTTATTTTATGTCGTCCCCACAGTTTACCCGGTGGTGCTTGGAATACATTCTGGTATTTATGTAAGTCTAAAAATATTTTTATTTATTTATTTATTTGGATTTATTTATCATCAATTATTTTTACTTGATTATTTCGTTATTTTAAAAAAAAACTATGATATATTTATGTATCTATAAATGTGTTGAGTTAATATATTTGTTCAATTATTTTTTTATCTTGTATTTAATAATTAGGTATATATTTTACATATATATTTTACGAGACAGAAAGCGATATATATGAAACAAACAACCTAACTACGACACATCAAATTAGCGGGAATGAAATAGTAATGATATAAACATGTAAAGTTTTATAAGTGATTATTCAAAAAAAGTTTAAACTTATATTACTGATGTTGTAGTACACTTTTCAGACGTATATTATTTAATTAAATATTTTTATCTATCGTTTTACATACGGATCCGAAACACTCACAAAAACATATTTTGACTATCATTTTGCATAACGATCCGAAGCATTCACAGGAACGATCGTTCACTATATGTAAATATAATTACCTTAAAGTTCTTGTTCGCTTTCTCTCTCTCTCTTCCATAGACAAGGACCAGATGACACTCTCTCTCTCTCTCTTCCATAGACAAGGACCAGATGACTCTCTCTCTCTCTCTCTCTCTCTCTCTCTCTCTCTCTCTCTCTCTCTCTCTCTCTCTCTCTCTCTCTCTCCCCCCCCCTCTGAGACCAGAGGATTTTATTCCAGGAGTGAGTGTTTATGCATATGCATATGTGAGTATGGAACAAACTGTTCTGTTTTCTGTGGCTTCCCGGTGTTACAGGCCTAGAAAATATCATGGGCGAATTATATCCAGTATATATCAAAATGAAAAGCTACGAGGAAATGTACATGAGAAAATATCCCAAATATTAAGATTAAAACAACATACAACTTCACTTGAGCATACACGTCAAGAAGGTTCCTTAAAGTTATAAATTTTGCAGAGTGATTGCTCTTTATTTTAATTTTTTTTTGTAAACAACTGCGTTTTATGTTCGAGGACGTTCGCTGTGTTCCTTGATAATAGCATACTCAAAGAGTTGTCAGACTGCAGCAGGAACAGTGTGTTTTATGATCCCTGCATTCGAGGACCTTCAACGTGTTCCTAAATGAGGGTCAGAATGGGGGTATACAGAATAGAGAGTAATGGGCAAAACATGTAATGAATAGAGAAACATGGACCAACAAAATAAAGAGAGAGAATAATGGGCAAAAAATTAAGAGAATAAAGAAAAATGGCCTAAAAATTGAAAGAATACAGAAATGAAGGACCCACCAAGACCCTCTTTTATGATTCCTACATTCTAGGGCGTTCAACGTGGTATTTAATAAGAACATACTCTAAAAGATGTCATAATGCAGCTAGTATCGGGTTGTTAGTATAATCAACGGTTCTGGTCTTTTTCACAAAACAGACTACTCTTAATCCTGATATCTTATAACAATTTTAATCCTTAGCTCTTTTTTTTTTTTTATCTAAAACACAAACCAGGAAGAAACTAAAATGTTAGGTAAGTCCTATGAAAATCGGTTAAGTACACATGTTTTAAAACGAAATACCTGTAAATTACATTAGATATTTATTTCGTTACTTTTTTGTGCAAGAACTTAAAGGACGAAAACGCCCCGCCCCAACACTATGCCATTTTAAATGTTAATCAATATTGTTCAGATAACTGTAAAATTGTTTTTCATTTTTTTGTAATGTATTTGAAAATTATCTTGTAAATTTCATGTAGAGATTTTGTGTCATGAATTAATACACCATCACCCTCTTTTCGTTATGTAAATTAATTAAACATAAAATCTTTTAGAAATATTTGTTTTTTTTACTTGTATTTGTATTGCCGTTCAGTCTTCTTCATGATTTTATCTTCGTCATGAATATAAATCAAATGATTGCCACTGGACATATTAAGCAAAAAACAATCAATCAATCAATATACTTCTTTTATGCAATCAAACAATTTTCGATAGCTCAAGGTTTGAATTTGTATATTAAGATCTTACTATACAAATCCTTGCTCAAGGTTACGACTGTCTTCCAATTAAATCAAAACTGATTTCAATCATATTCAAACAAATTAAACTGGAAATTAAAGATATTGGATAATTGTTGACAAGGCCTATTTTTAAATGTTGACATCAATATTCTATTGTATGTTTATGTAACGATATATTTTGTAAGCCTTTTAAAATCTCCAACCTATATTCTTTATTAGTGTTTCATTATTCAATCATCAATAACTAGACTTTCAACTATATTTAAAACCGAGACAGTAGCGGTTATATGTTTTAAAACGTTTTTTTTTTAAGTTTGAATCTTATGGAACTTTATACTATCGTTTGGTTTGTAGATATATCTGAAAACAAAACTTACTGCTAGCGGAGAGTCTAGTTTGTCAATCACTAATATTAGTTAGTAGAAAGAAAAAAAAACTGTGGTACTAGAAAACTCGAATATTTTGTGAGCATGTATAAAAGAGTATTGCTTTTTGTGTTTTGTGTGTGTGTGTGTGTGTGTGTTTTTTTTTTTGTAGTGCATGTACTGATTTTGTGTCATGGATGGATACCCCTCATCCTTCTTTTTTCTATCAAGATACAAACCACAGCGAACTCGGGCACAACCATTATTAGACACAGAGGACGCGTAGATCAAAAAGTAAGAGGGGTCAAAACAATAAAACATTTGTGAGAAATAAATCCAGCAGCCAAACCCGTTTAAGGTTAAATTTGTCTGTGAAATTAGGTGCTACGTACCTTGGTTTTAATACAATAAAAACATTGTTTAGTAAAAAATGTTTCATTTAATTCATGTATGAACCGACAGTTGACTTGCACAGGCTACCAGGTGTATTGTATGTATCCGTCAACCAGCATTTGAATGGTATTTTTATGAGGTCTAGAATAATGGACAAAATGGGCAGAATAAAGGGCAAAAAAATTAAAGAATAGAGAAAAATGGGGTGCTTAAATATAAAGAATAGAGAAAAATTGCTTAAAAAATAAAGAATACAGAATTGAAGGACCCCCCCCCCCCCCCCCAAATCCAGACCCTCTATAATGTAAGGCTGCTGTCATCTTGATGTTTACTTTATACTTTCTTTTATTTATACTACTTATATATATATATTATGTATGTATGAATAAGAAGACGTGGTATGACTGCCAATGAGACAAATATCCACCAGAGACCAAAGAAAAAAGATATACTCCACTATAGGACACATTATGGCCTTCAACAATGAGCAAATACCATGCATACAATCAGTTAAAAAATGGAGGGCCCTGTGCCAATGACACGACAAAATTGTTCCCTATTCTTTATATTTTAACACCTCTTTTTTCTCTGTTATTTATACTTTTTGCCCATTATTCTCTGTTCTGTAAACCCCTATCCACATCCTCACAAGGAGACGGCAACCAACGGTAACCTCTGAAATACTGATTTCAGATTTGGGACATGAAGATAAAGAATGTGACGGGGTTAAACATGTTTGTATCAGTGCGCTTACGATGTATGATGAGTACATATGTACCGAACTTATTATATAATAAGTACAAACGTACCGGACTATCTTTCAAAAATAGCACTATCGTTGTCTCATATCCTTTCATTTGAATTATATAATATTTATCTTAATATATCTATTCTTACTTGTATATTATGCTGTGTTTATGGAGCAAGGTCATGTCTATGTTAGTTGTAAATCATTTTGAGTCAAGTAACATTTTCAAAACCGGTCAACCAGGCAGAGGAAAAACAAAAACAAAACATAAACTAGTACACTTAATAAACTAAATATGCCTTGCAGTCTGGTGTGCCATTTTTAACACCAAAATGAATATTGTTCAATAATTGTATCTACAGGAAACTAAATATAGGTAAACAATGTTTTTATTTAAATAAAATGAAGATTAGGGACATTAATAATGACCCAAATTAAAATTTTCCCTGAACTATCGTAATTTCTTGATTAAAAAAAACATCCTGATTTTTTTTTTGTGTTCCATTTTATTTACCATACAAATCCTTCTATAAGAAGCAAAAATAAAACAAAGAAAACATATAACTATGGCCAAACTGTGAAAACAGAGAGAGTTGAATTAAAATTCGATTGATCGATTGTTGGTTTCCTAAACGTCAAATGCAAATATTCTAAGTAGAATCGTGATAATTTGTATATATTTTTAGGGCGCATAAATAAAAATGTCAAAATAGCGAGACGAACAACTACTTGTTATTTTCACGCGGATTCTAGAAGAAATTTCGAGCACGACGAGAAGCTTCGCAACATGACAAGTTCCCAAAAATGCAGAGATTTAAACAATTTTGGTTTTTGTATATATACCCTGTGGTTGTATAAAATATTAAACGAATGGAGTGAAATTATCCCACCAAAAGAATAATGACTATTATAATAATAATAATAATAATAATAATAATAATAATAATAAAATAATAATAATAATAATAATAATAATTATAATAATAATAATAATAATAATAATAATAATAATAATAATGTAAGAGTAAATAAAAGTTAATAAAAAGTTATTTTATAAATAAGCAGACCTTTTTCTTTATTATAAAATTCCTAAATATACTGTACAAAGTTTCGTCACTGCGTGTGTATTTTTAAATTAATATTGATTCTCTACTCTACAGAGTGAAACATGATTAAATTGGTTATTTTTTGTAAAGTTGTTATACACACACGAATTTATTGTTGGAATTACTTTTATTACATATATTTTAATTGCCCAAATAATGGGAAACGGCGTCTGTTTATTTTTTTATTTTTATTTATTCGCCTCCGCTATGAGCATTGTTATAACAACATAGAAGTTACACGAAACCGGTGAATTTTCTCTTATTTCTGTGGCGAGACTATAAAAATAGCTATACAGGTCAAGTTCAAGTTCTTGGTCTCTTACGGCATTCATTTCATTGTTATATATACTATTGATCAATTGGTCAAGGATTAACCTGGTAACTCAGTACATGTATGCCAAGTTCAAGTTCAACGTCAGAAAAATCATGTGACTATTATAAAAGAGATTGGCATAATATGAGGACGTGGATGGGGTTTACAGAAAAAAAAAGCACACAAAAAAAAAGAAAGAAAAGAAAATGACTCGGTGCAAAAAACAAAGAATTGAGAACAAAGGACAAAGGACAAAGAAAAATTAGACAAAAATTGCCGAAAAAAACGAAAGAATTCATTAATGAAGAAATCCCCCAGACCCTCATGATATTAGAGAATTATTATTATATCACAAGCTGTTCGATTCACGTAGGAGTAATAACATAATTATATGACCATGGTCTCTAGTTAGTCCAATAACATGTGACTTCGGGGGCATTATTGTCTATGTTTGTTTGTTATTTAATATTTTCTTTTACTTATTTTGCTATAATTTGTTATTTTTTATTGTCTGTATGCTGTTTTACTATCAATGTGCAAACTGAGCATTAAAAAAAAAATTTTAAAAAAAATATCGGCATAAAAACGAGAAAAATGCCAAGTTATATACTAGTCAACAAAAGAAACGATACACAAGTTTGAACTCCAATTTATCATATAATATAATAAATAGGAAAAATTGTTGAATTATCCAATGAAAAACATTCATTTGTAAAGCAAATGCATATGATTAAAAGAATCTGAACAAATTGGAAAGTGAGAAAATACCGTGTTATTGAACACAGGGGTCAAATTTATTTTGTGGAAAATGATGACAAAAGTCGACACTTAATTTCGAAGATAAAATTAAGTATTCAAATATCTACAAAGGCATTCAAAATTTTAAGTTTAAAGTTTTAAGTTCTAATATCGATTTTTGAATTTTTGGGTGAAAGTACGATTTTTGAAATAACAAAAATTGCAAAAAAAAAAAAATCGCGTATTTGCCTGAAATCAAATATTTTGATAAGAAAATAACACTCTGTAAATATTAGACCAATTGAGCAATTATTTACCTTGGTACAGTGTATATATATATATGAAAAATACATTGACTTGTATCGTTGCTTTTGTTGACTAGTATATGTTATAGCAAGGACCTATACGTCTTTTGGTATCCTTGGTTATAGAATAGTCATAAAATGATGAAAATAAAAACAAAACATTTCTAATGAAGGATTTTGGAAAATGAAAACACTGGGCTTGGTAATAATTGGAAAACAATAACCTTGCCCAAGACATGTTGAAAATTAATATTCTGTCCAACGAAATGATTATAGTTATTTACAAGAATGAAAATAACTTTTCGCGCGTACAAAAGTAAGTCATGCTAACAACCAGCAATTAGGTGCAAATGAATAAATCCTCCAGCGACACCCCCCCCCTTTAGCAATAAAAAAAATCAAATGGTTGTCTCCTCGTAGATGTACATATATGATAATAGTTTATAACCTTTTTTTTTTATTATATTGGGAGAACAACTACGTACATTGTTAACTGTAAGAGTGGTATATTTTTTGACGATTTTGTTTTGATTTTGATTTTTGTTTTCTATAAATGTTTTAAACAAAAAAATTATGTAATTTTTTTCCCAATTAAACATACTAGAAAATCTTGCCAAGATTAATATATATGACACCCATGAATATTCTAACTGCATGGAAGTGTTTTGTATGATTAAAAAATTCGTAAGGGTTCCGCGGAACCCAGTGTCTCGCCTACTTTTTCTGTTAATCGCAGGCTCAACAAAAATGAGGAAGTAAATCAATAAAAATATTCCTCTTGATACTATCTTTTGATTGTAAGAAGCTTCTGTCCATGTTTGGTAAAAATCCAGGATAGTTTATGAATCTAATAAATGTTTAAAAACTTTAACTGCAGACTGAATGTAATGTTAACTGGAAGAAAACAAAATTTCCTTCTAGATACTAGCATTTGATCATAAACAAGCTTCTGTTAAAGTTTGGTACAAATCCAAAATAGTATAAGAAAGTTATTAAAATTTAAAAAAACTTTAACCACAGAGTGAATGTGTTGTTTCCTGACAGAAAATCTAAGTCCATTTAAAAGTAAAATACGGAAAAAATGGATTTATTTTTTTACAAAATTTCCTTCTAGATACTAGCTTTTGATTATAAACAAGCTTCTGTCCAAGTTTGGTACAAATCCAAAATAGTATAAGAAAGTTATTAAAATTTTAAAAACTTTAACCACAGAGTGAATGTGTTGTTTCCTGGCAGAAAATCTAAGTCCATTTAAAAGTAAAATACGGAAAAATTAGATTTATTTTTTTACAAAATTTCCTTCTAGGTACTAGCTTTTGATCATAAACAAGCTTCTGTCCAAGTTTGGTACAAATCCAAAATAGTATAAGAAAGTTATTAAAATTTTAAAAACTTTAACCACAGAGTGAATGTGTTGTTTCCTGGCAGAAAATCTAAGTCCATTTAAAAGTAAAATACGGAAAAAATGGATTTATTATTTTACAAAATTTCCTTCTAGATACTATCTTATGATCATAAACAAGCTTCTGTCCAAGTTTGGTAGAAACCCAGGATAGTTTAAGAAAGTTATTAAAATTTTAAAAACTTTAACCACAGAGTGAATGTAATATTTCCCGGCAGAAAAACTAAGTCCATTTATAAGTAAAATACGGTAAAAATGGAATTTTATTTTTACAAAATTTACTTCTGGATACTATCTTATGATCATAAACAAACTTCTGTCCAAGTTTGGTAGAAATCCAGGATAGTTTAAGAAAGTTATTAAAATTTCAAAAACTTTAACCACAGAGTGAATATTTGTGGACGCCGCCGACGACAACGACGACGACGACGACGACGACGACGCCGACGGAATGTAGGATCGCTATGTCTCGCTTTTTCGACTAAAGTCGAAGGCTCGACAAAAAGTGTTTGGTATCAGTAAAATACTTTTTTTTTTATAAAATCATAGTGTATTGTTTTGTATTTATCATGTTTATAAATGTCATGCTGTCCGTCAAGGACACTTAATTGGAACAATGCATATTCTTATTTCTATTCTTATATTCTCATGAGTGCTTTTGGAACAATTCCGGTCACATGAGTAAAACTTAACCACCCTTTCCCTTCATAATAATAACAAATATAAACATAGTGATCTTACAGCTTTCGAGACATTATACTGAAATAAACTACATTAAATATGCTCGAGACCAAACCTTAGGCAAGCCAAATACTTATATACTAGCATTGAAACTTTCTAGTTCGTCAAATAAAGCAAAAGGGCCTAAACACAAGTTATATTTGACGAACGATTTAGTCGAATATAAAACAAATGTTTTATGAATATAAGATATACTAGTTCCTTCTTCTAGAAAACAACGGTTCGTGGCTTATAAAACATAGAAATATTATCTTTAAAAGTGTACACCAAAAAGTTGCAGTAAGTAATTAATGGTCGAATATAGGACATTGATTACTATAATTGCAACTTTTTGGTGTACACTTTTAAAAGTAGTATACTAAGAATGCATTTGATTCTGAAACGTTGAATTGATAACTTTTGTTTAATGAAAGCCTTTTTTTCAGACAAATATTACATAGTAGTAGACAGACGATACATGGACGAAGAGGATTCTTTTTCTAGAGGAATAAGTTTGTATGTATTTTATGGACAGTTTGCAAGAACGGACACACGTCTATCTCATATTCAAAAACTGTTCCAATTGTTTTCTACATTTCTGCATTTTCATAATATCATTTTATAATTATTCTTCATTTCAATTAATATTTCTGTATTGATTTGCTGCTGCTTAAAGATGTTCGCTTCTTTGTTATAAATAACAAGCTTTTAAACAGACTGAATTTATAGTTTATGAATAACAGAACTTAAAAAGTAGAAAAAAATGACAGGTCTGTGTCCTTGTTTTTGAGATATATAATAAACTGACAATTTGGTGGGAAATGATTCTCTCTAGATTTTTCATATATTTAACATTGGTACCTTTTTTTCTTCCAAAAACTATGAAAAAATAACAAGGATTTTATAAGATTAAAAAAAAAAAATTTTTTAAACAAGAGTGCACACGCTGAAATGTCTCGCCTTCTTTACTAATCATTGATATTATGTTGATAGTCCTAAATATAAAGCTTTATTACAACTGTCACATAAACTTAACATAAACCAAGTAAACTAAACATTGACCAATGAACCATGAAAATGAGGTCAAGGTCAGATGAACCATGCTAGGCAGGCATGTACAGCTAACAATTCTTCCATACAACAAACATAGTTGACCTATTGCTTATAGTTTAAGAAAAACAGACCAAAACACAATAACTTAACACTGATCAATGAACCTTGAAAATGAGGTCAAGGTCAAATAAAACCTGCGTGACTGACATATAGATCATAAAATATTTCCATACACCAAATATAGTTGAACTATTGCATATAGTATTAGAAAAAAAGACCAAAACTCAAAAACTTAACTTTGACCACTGAACCATGAAAATGAGGTCAAGGTCAGATGACACCTGTCAGCTAGACATGTAAACCTTACAATCATTCCATACACCAAATATAGTAGACCTATTGCATACAGTATAAGAAAAACAGACCAAAACACAAAAACTTAACTATAACCACTGAACCATGAAAATGAGGTCAAGGTAAAAAAAAACCTGCATGACTGACATATAGATCATAAAATATTTCCATACACCAAATATAGTTGAACTATTGCATATAGTATTAGAAAAAAAGACCAAAACTCAAAAACTTAACTTTGACCACTGAACCATGAAAATGAGGTCAAGGTCAGATGACACCTGTCAGCTAGACATGTAAACCTTACAATCATTCCATACACCAAATATAGTAGACCTATTGCATACAGTATAAGAAAAACAGACCAAAACACAAAAACTTAACTATAACCACTGAACCATGAAAATGAGGTCAAGGTCAAATAAAACCTGCATGACTGACATATAGATCATAAAATATTTCCATACACCAAATATAGTTGAACTATTGCATAGAGTATTAGAAAAAAAGACCAAAACTCAAAAACTTAACTTTGACCACTGAACCATGAAAATGAGGTCAAGGTCAGATGACACCTGCCAGCTAGACATGTACACCTTACAATCATTCCATACACCAAATATAGTAGACCTATTGCATACAGTATAAGAAAAACAGACCAAAACACAAAAACTTAACTATAACCACTGAACCATGAAAATGAGGTCAAGGTCAGATGACACCTGCCAGTTGGACATGTACACCTTACAGTCCTTCCATACACCGAATATACTAGACCTATTGCTTATAATATCTCAGATATGGACTTGACCACGAAAACTTAACCTTGTTCACTGATCCATGAAATGAGGTCGAGGTCAAGTGAAAACTGTCTGACGGGCATGAGGACCTTGCAAGGTACGCACATACCAAATATAGTTATCCTATTACTTATAATAACAGAGAATTTAACATTACAAAAAATCTTAACTTTTTTTCAAGTAGTCACTGAACCATGAAAATGAGGTCAAGGACATTGGACATGTGACTGACGGAAACTTCGTAACATGAGGCATCCATATACAAAGTATGAAGCATCCAGCTCTTCCACCTTCTAAAATATAAATCTTTTAAGAAGTTAGCTAACGCCGCCGCCGCCGCCGGATCACTATCCCTATGTCGAGCTTTCTGCGACAAAAGTCCCAGGCTCGACAAAAACTATATGTAAAAAAAATAATGAAAGGAAAAGTAGTGGATAGCGGGCAAATTTTTTATTAGCACTACATGGATAACACTAGAGGATTCCGAATGTCTGACTTCCGAAAAGTCAAAAATAAGAGTACCGAACATCCTTAAAATCCAGCAGCAAATAATAAATGCATATTTAGGACGATAACATGAGCGGTAAGTTGGATTTTTTAACGTGATCGCTCACAAGATGAAAATCCACAGAAAGAAATATCACCAAACTTAGACACATTATGCTGACATCGAGCCGACCTTTCCATGTTCTTATGTACCTAAATGCCACATGTTTGGGGGAGAAGCAGCATATACCAGTATTTTAAAGACTTTAAGTTGAGCAGGTCGGGATAGACAAAACTAATTTTAAACAATGAGAATTGCAATTTCTTAATAAAGCACATATGATTTTTATAAATATTATTGCAGAAGTTTTTTAAAATTTTTTGTCGATTGATAGATTAATTTACCTAATTTTAACGTACAGAGGAAAGAAAAATCCCATATATCAAAAGTAAAAGCCACTGTACATCAACAAGATAGCAACCCAACGACACAAAAGAACGAACAACAAAAATTCATCTCGAGGTCAACATAGGGTCTTCAACAATATGTCGAGCTTTAAAATCGTGTCTAGTCTAGAAAAACCATACTAGTAGTTTAAATATATCTCGATATTCAAGATGAGTGCACTCTCTCGAGTTAAAAAACCAGTTACTATTTACAATGAGCAACACGATGGCTGCCTCATGTGGATCAGCAGGATCTGTCTACTGTTCCGGAGCAAATGAAATCAACCCCGGTTTTGGGGTTCGGGTAGCTCAGTGTTTAGTTTTCGATGCAATTTTAGTAGTTGTTTTGAAGAGTGTCGACTTCGCCGCGGCTCTCTTTTAGTGACCTTTCTTCTCTTGAAAACGGGTGCTTTGGACTTAAAAGAAAAAAGAAAGCAAGCCGGGGACTTGATCGGCAGATCTTTTAGACGTAGACACAACAGATTAGGTGCGGGGCCACGAAGCTAATATGCCCACTTTGCACCAGCCGTGTAAAGGAATGCCTAGGGTGGGAATCGAACCCACGTACGCCAGTACGCCCAAGTGTTTAGTTTTCAGTTTACTTTTAGTATTGTTTTTTGTTGTTGCCATAATGATGCAGTTTCTCTTCGACTCATGACTTTTGAATTCCATTTGGTATCTTCCGCCTCATTTTTACAGGAGTTTTGGAAAACGGGAACTTGAGTGTTGATCGGAAATTTTCTAGAAGTCTGGTGTGGCATTTTTGACATACTAAGGTCAAACTTGCAAAATTCTGTAGCCCTGCACAGAACCTTCGTTACTCGAAGAAAAAGGGTGGTATTTCATCACATGGACCCCCTTCCGATTCCCCGGTCTAAAACTGCCACCACTCTGAATCCGCCAATGCCAGTTAAGTCATCAACCCTATGGCGAATAAGGTTAAATTCATTTAAATGAAAAATGGTAAATGGAACACTATTCCTAAATTCGTATGTAATTAAAGAGAGATAACTCTAGCACAAATCTCGTGATTTTTTTTTTTAACTTTACCAACTATCCGTTCCCCGTTTGGTGAAGCGGGATGTAAGATAGTGAGAAAGTAAGTTTATTGAAAAGTTGGACTATCAGTATCATCAATTAGAACATGATCACAGAACAAATTGACAAAAGAACAACTGCAGCACAGTGAATAACCCATTTTCGTTTTTACACCACGACTAAGGCGAATAGAGCTGTCTCCCATGTTGCTTGCAAATGGATGGGAAGCAATTAATGATTCCCTTGATAGATAAAAGCAATTTTTGCTATTTTGCTAGGATTCCTGGCTTAGATTCAATTAGATTATGTCGAATCATATTTGAAGAAATTGCTTATCGTTTCATCCGCAAAATTTATTTTGATCCTCAATAGTTATCGTATATGATGCTGATATTATATCTTTTATAGAAGTTAACTTATTTTGAAAGGTAATAATTCTTTACTCTGATAATGTCTTAAGAGTATATACCTTGTTTGTACATATTCATTGTATATGCTTTTTGACGCATTTGCGTGAATGTCAATTCAAAATGTTCAAAATATGAAAATATTAAAATATTCCGGATTAGGAAAAAGAACCCGGTAACTAGGCTTTGGCCTATATCACTGAGAGTAATACCGTCACGAACGGGTTATGACGTGCTGCTTCTAATGTGCCTCCTCCCCCGGATGTACTACCGAGCAGTCAAAGGCAAAACCTATAAGAGATCGAAAGTACTTAGCAGAATCTTTGTTACCTTATGGGAAATTAAATATCAAGTAGTTCATATATTTTGATATATTCCTATTTCATCAAACCTCCTGTGTCGATAGTGAACACGGTATATATAAAAAAGAAGATGTGGTATGATTGCCAATGAGACAACTCTCTACAAGAGACCAAATGACACAGAAATTAACAACTATAGGTCACCGTACGGCCTTCAACAATGAGCAAAGCCCATACCGCATAGTCGGCTATAAAAGGCCCCGAAATGACAAATGTAAAACAATTCAAACGAAAAAACTAACCGCCTAATTTATGTACAAAATAATGAATGAAAAACAAATATGTAACACAGCAACAAACGACAACCAATGAATTACAGGCTCCTGACTAGGGACAGGCACATACAGAATGTGGCGGGGTTAAACATGTAAGCGGGCATTTTTTAACCCGTTTTTAATGTCAACGTTTATTCCACAGCGAGAAAAACAACCAAACACGGGTGTCAGTAGGCCTGCAAAAAAGCATACACCATCCAACAAGCCAGAAACTTGGGAGATTCCTCGGTCTTACACTCGATCCTATGTTTGGCGGAATTGTATGTCTTCATTCATTTGTGAGAAACTCACCAAAGTGAACTCGAATTGATAACCATGAAGCATCCGTGATTGGTTATAGTACTTTCCTTGGACCTCTGAACTACTGGATAAAAAATAAAAACAAACAAACAAACAAACAAACAAACAAAACAAAACAAAACAAAACAAAACAAAACAAAACAAAACAAAACAAAACAAAACAAACAGACAAAACAAACAGACAAAACAAATCGTAGGTTTTCATTTTGTTTGAGTATTTTCTTTTTGTTTTTTTCAGATTAAATGTTGTAGAAGTGGTTCTGTCTGTATTAGTTATACTTTTGGTATGTTTATAAAGTGACGTTGAAAAAAAAAACACGGAATATGTGTAGAAAGCTCCTATTTAGAAAACAAAATAATGTTCTGTATCTACATGTTATAATACCATGGTTACATTGTACACGGTTTCGCTTTCTATGATTTGCCTCCATGTTATGCTACCAAGCAATACACGTAAATAAAAAAATACCAAAAAGAATAAATCAGGGAAATATTAACATGCCAATAGATGGAGCCAATCATATTCGTGACTTAAAACAGGCACTTCTAATGAAAGTGGAAATACAGTTTGTTCTAAGTTCCGTATAGCGGCTTTAAAGCATGGTGGATGCATGGTATCCCCAGGACTTAAGTAAGCATCAAGTCAGGATCCTGTAGTTCAGTGGTTGTTGTTGGTTCATCATGTCTGTCATACATGTTTTTCTGTATGTGTCTGTCCCAATTCGGGAATCTTTATAACTCAGTGGTTGTCGTTTGTTGCTGTATATCACATATGTTTTTCGTTTACTGTTTTAACCACAAATCAGTCCGTTGGTTTTCTCGTTTGGATTGTTATACATTTTGTCATGTGAGGGTCTTTTATAGCTTGTTATGCTGTATGGGTTTTGCTCATTGTTGAAGGTGACCTATAGTAGCTAATTATCATTTGGTCTCTGGTGGATAGTTGTCTCATTGACAATCATATCGCACCTTCTACTGATTATATATGTTGATATAGATGCCAAAAAAAGATACAAGCAGTAAAATTAAACGACATTAGAAATGCTCAACTTATGCATAAATAATTAAGGTAATTTCCATGACACGTCGTTTGCAGATGAAAATTATTAGTGAAAAAAATAAAAAATATTTCGATGAAAACCTGTATATATTTGTGATTTTGTGAAACCACACTATAACGGAATATATATAACTAATAATAATATTGATCTTTTTCAGCATTATCAAAAGAGCAAGCACACACGCCTGATGGCGTTCACGGTATCAGTGATGACTTTCTGGAAGACCGTACTGTATTTTGTAATGTTTACAGAATATTGTGGAGCAGGACCACTACGAGTACAAAATACAATAATGCAAGAAATATTTATATACGTTATTCCAAATGGTATATGGGTTGTCGTTCCTTTTCTTGTTATGATTCAATTATGGAGTCTTTTAGCAGCAGACAGTAAACAGGGTTCAAAGTTTAATTAATTTCATTGTAGAAATTGAATTAATTAGTTTTTGATGACGTCAGTTTTATTCTAATATCTTGGCGTTATTATGTTGCCTTATAAATGTTCTTAATGTTTTATAGATAAATGTTTGATGGATGTGGCTCGATTATGTGTTTTCATGTCATGTGCCACTTTTCCTGAAATTTCTTTAATCTTCTTTAAAATTCACAGTATCAAAGATTCATATGCGTGTTTTAAGGTTTTGGCAACATTTTGTCGTATTTACCAACATTTTACTAAATTGCAAATATCTGAGGGTCTGGATGGGGGACCCTTCCTTTAAGCTTTAAGTAGCTTTAACTGCGAGTACTCTTATGTCGGTGCTTTGTGTCTTATTACTTTTATTTTAGTTGCTTTTGTGCCTCGTATCGATTTTTTAAGTTAAGCCAATTGCGACTAATTTTTACAGTTTGTTCGAATGTTGTGCTGTAACACCACTATCCCAGGTATGGGGAAGCGTTGAGCGCTCACAAACATGTTTAACCCCGTCACATTCTTTATGTGCCCGTCCTAAGTCAGGAGCCTGAAGTTCAGTGGTTGTTGTTGGTTTATGTCTATCATAATTTTTTTTCGAAATTGTTGTGTTATAAATTAGGCCGTTAGTTTTCTCAACTGAATTGTTTCATAATTTTAATGTCGGGGCCTTTTATAGCCGACTATACGGTATGGGTTTCCTCATTGTTGAAGGTCATACTGTTGCCTATAATTGCTTACATCCACTCCATTTGAACTGTGGCGGATTGTTGTCTCATTGGCAACCATACCACCTCTCCTTATTTGTATACATTTTTTTGTTGTTTTCATAACGTCTAGTGTCATATAAATAATGAATATTGTTTGTTGTTTGCATAACGTCCAGTGGCATATATATGATTAAGAAGGAACACATGTTGATCACGATAATACTGATTACTAGTATTTTCTTTGAATACTTCATTACATTTGAGTAATTAGAATAATAAATATACATAGATTGCAATTCCATTTTGATTTTTACAATGAATAAATAAATACGAATATAAATTTTTAAACTGCATTTCTAATATGAAAAGAGTTTACTTCGAAACGCTTTCATCTTATGGGTTCCACTGCTTAGTCATCATTGTCAGCACTTTTATCTTCGTCAATTTTGTCATCACTGTCATCTTTGTCATCATTGTCATCACTGTCATCTTTGTCATCACTGTCATCTTTGTTATCATTGTCATCACTGTCATCCTTGTCATCATTGTCATCACTGTCATCTTTGTCATCACTGTCATCTTTGCCATCATTATCATTGTCATCACTGCCATCTTTGTCATCATTGTCATCATTGTCATCTCTGTCATCAATGTCGTCACTATCATCGCTGTCATCGCTGTCGCTACTTGAACTATCTGAATTAGAATCGCTTGCTTTAAAGTCATTACCGTCTTCATCAATCCATTTCTCGTATAATTTTCCAATAAATGACTTTTTTTTGGCCACTCTTAATGTAGCCTCGTTATCAACAATAACGTTTTGCCCCAGTCTCAAGGCGTGATTCTCACAAATGATCACATGATCGGCTGTAGTTATGGTTACATACACTCTATTTTTAGTAGTATGTGGATGAAATGGAGTTGACCGTCCTGGGTTTATTCGAGTAAATCCCTTGAGTATCATGCTGTTATCATATTCAATGCATTCGTTTGTCGTACCACCCACGCCAACGTATCCTAATCTTGTTCTCCATTTCTCTATATTTTTTAAATGTTTCCCCCATTATTATCTATTCTTTATGTTCCCCTTTTATTCTCTGTTCTTTGTCCCCCCCCCCCCCCCCTTTATTCTCTATTCCATAAACCCTGCAGACCCTCTGTATTTGGTCAACAATATTGAAGTTTGTCCTTATATTAGTAACCATAAATCATTTATTACAGTGTACAAACAAAAATAAAAGCAAACTAACTGATCAATATAAAAATAAGGAGATGTGGTATGATTGCCAATGACACAACTATCCGCACATGTTCAAATGAAGTGGATGTAAGCTAGTAGTCCTTTGTTAATTTATGTATCATTGTCATTTTGCTTAGTTTCTTCTGTTACCTATTCTGACATCGGTCTCGGACTTCTTTTAAACTGAGTTTTACTGTGCGTATTACTGTGTGTTTGTTTATTCTACATTGGCTAGAGGTATAGGGGGAAGGTTGAGATCTCACAAAACATGTTTAACCCCGCCGCATTTTTGCGCCTGTCCCAAGTCAGGAGCCTCTGGCCTTTGTTAGTCTTGTATGTTTTTTTTATTTTAGTTCATTTATATGTTTCGGAGTTTAGTGCGACGTCCATTTTCACTGAACTAGTACACATTTTTGTTTAGGGGCCATCTGAAGCCCGCCTCCGGGTGCGGGATTTTCTCGCTGTGTTGAAGATCCATTGGTGGCCTTCAGCTGTTGTCTGCTCTTTGGTCGGATTGTTCTCTCTTTGACACATTCCCCATTTCCATTCTCAATTTTAATTATAGGCAACCATATTGTATTGTTATTAGGAATTGGTTCTTTAGACATACGTTTTGTTACCTGTTCAGCTTTATGATTGGCTGCCAATGACAACTTAAAATCCAAAATAGGAAGGAAACTTTACATCTTCAGCAAATTGTATGTCATGCATGTATAGGCAAAGTATATCAGTAATGTTAAACATAAATAAATATGAACTTGAATAATCTGAAGAACATAAGAAGTTGTATAACAAGCCGTTACTAAAAAAATCATATGTACTTGGGACCAGGACAATTATTTTTTTTTTTTTGCCCTCCCCCTTTTTCCCAAAATCCGTTATTTTTTTGTTTTCTATTAAGTTCAATTATTTTCACGTTTATATATCAGTGACCGCTATGGATAGAAAACTTGTAAATAGCAAATACAAGTTATTTCTACTATATTTATGTTCATATAATACCGAAAAAAGGGGGAGGGCAAAACAAAATGTCCTGTCCCCAAGTACCTATGAAAAAAATACGTTTTCTTCCTTATTCATTTGATCGCTTTTTATTTTCTTTACATCTAGTTGCAAATATTTATTCATATGTTCAGGACGAGAACAATTAAATTAACAATACAAACAGTAGGTAGTTCCTGCAACAGGGGTCGATCGGGGTGATGGGCAGGAAATTTGATTTATTTATTGATTGTTGTTTCTGAACGTCCAGAGGCAAATATTTCATGTATGTTTCAGAACAAGAACAAATTAGCAATAAATACAATAGGTAGGTCCTGCAATAGGTGGTCGACCGGGATGCTGAACAGTAATTTGGAATGCCACTGTAAAATGAAGGTATATTGGATAGGGACAGAAATTTAGCCTTTCAACAGGCCACCCATGGGCCCCTAAAGAGTTGTTTTGATGGTTCTTAACGTGCAGAGAGCGTGGCATTCTCTCTACACAATGCATTGGATTTTAACGTTTCCCTTATGACTATAGCTGCAAATTTATAAATACCGCACAGCCAAATCGGAATCCCATCTTTGGCAAGGGTTCTACTGCCGTTCGGAAGAAGGCCAAGAAAAAAGAGTTGACCATATTTCTATATACTTTTACGGCTTTAGATATATACAACAGGTTGGAACAACCCCTTAATGTAATGACTACTAGTATCCCTTTTATTAGGGGTAAATTTCAAGTGATAATTTTTTTAAACCACTTCTAAGTAGAAAAGGGCGACATATTTATATTAATTGCAGAAACATTTCCCAAAAGAACAATATGTCTATCTGGTATTATATTGATAAAATATGTCCATGAATTTTGGGATATTCATGGACTTTAACCTTCTTTATTATTGAAAATAAGAGGAACCCTCTGTTAGAAATTTTAAGTTGTTCTAAATAAAAAATAAATGTTACCCTGTTTAAGTTAAAAAGGCCAACTATTCTTTTTTCCTTTCTTTTCTACAACAGCAAAATAACCCCTTGCTTGAGGGACAGTCCTTTATTTAAGGGATATCCCTCTATGTCTGAAGCTGAGATTTTTAAAACAAAAATTCCAGGGAAAATTGTCATACATCAGAAAACGGTATTTGCACTAATAGCTTTAGCTCAAAACCTAAAAGTGATAGAAACAAACATTATAAAAAAACCTGTCTTAATCTAAAATGTAAAGGTTTCAATGTTGTATGCCTTAATGTTAGACATATTTTATCTAAATTTGACGAGTTAAAGAATATAATTACTATAAACAACAAATATTTAGATTTATTTGGATTAGTTGAAACATTCTTAAAACCTGATATTATCAATGAACAATGTAAAGTGCCAGGATACAAAATATTCAGAAAAGATCGCCAGAGTAAGGATGGTGGTGGTCTATTGGTTTATGTCAAAGATTCTATTGCAGTTAAAAATAGATCTGATTTATCAATAAACACATTAGAAACTTTATGGTTAGAGGTAGAATTTCCAAAATTTAAACCTTTCTTCATTTGTACTGTTTATAGACCACCAAATTCCCTTCAGTCCTGGATAGATCTTTTTGAGGAGGAATTTAACGCAGCTCTTTCAGAAAACAAAGAGATCATTTTAATGGGGGACTTTAATATTGACTTGATAAAAATTGAAAATAAAAAAAGGATGAATTTCATAAACCATTTTAATCTTCAACAACAAATTTGCACTGCAACACGTATTTGTGACAAATCAGAAACTCTTATTGATCATATTTACACTACTAATCCTGAAAATATTGCTCATGTCATGTTCCTTCATATGCTTTAAGTGACCACTACCCTGTACGCTTAAATAGAAAAATCAATATAAATGTAAAGAAAGAAAATCATATCGAAATAAAGTATAGGAGTTTCAAAAACTTTAATGAGGATGCCTTTTGTGCAGACTTACATCAAACCCCTTTTCATATTGTTGAAATGGAAGAAGATATTGATATTTCTGTCGACAAATGGTATGAACTTTTTAATCAAGTTATTAACAATCACGCACCAATGAAAACTAAAAGAGTAAAAACATTTAAACAAGCCGAATGGTTCAATGAAGAAATTAAAAATTCCATTCAATACAGAAATATGTATCATTCAAAAAAAGATTGGGTAAACTTTAAAAAGTGGCGTAATAAAACAACGTCGTTAAT